TGCCATATGTAATGATGGTTTGGAGCATGAAAAAAACAGTTTTTGTGTAGTTTTTCTACCGTGGGAAGATTTGATCGAAATCTAAGTATATGTATATTTACCATTTCAATGTGAGATTACTCAAGAACTTGGTTAAAGTTGACATGTTAGTGAAGAAACAAACCATGGACTATATATGCAATATAGGATGCATGAAATTGGTTGATAACGTTGACGCTATAAGTTTTAGGTATTTAGTTATTATTTTGGGACTAAAAAGATAAATGGGGTTGAATCTAGAATGTCAAGTTATTTTGTCAGTGGGCCAAAAGATCCTCTCAATTCTTTCCGTGTTTTAACAAATGACTTCAAATCAAGATTGTTGGCGAAATCAAGATTTTAAAAGAAGGGTCTTTGTTTGAAGTAACCATCAAATAGAACATGGTTCATACACGGCAATGTTTTTTTGGCCATTCTTCGATTTGGCGGGTAAATCAAACCCATAAGCCAAAAAATACAAGTTATTGTTTAATGAAAAAATCTAGCAAACCCATAAGCCAAAAAGAATACAAGACCGATCCACACAAACCTCAAAACATCGGACAAAAGCCCAGCTGCAAAGCTCACTATACTCTCTCCAATTGACAAATCTCTTCTTGAAGTATTTTCATTACAATTACCTTCAATAACGACATGGTTTGGTTCCTCGTACACCAAACTTAAACCACAATTCACAATCTCACCTGTTCCATCTCTCACTTTGAAGTCGACTGAAGCCTTTGTAGGAACACATTTCTGATTGTCTCGCGACTTCAACGACCCTTCTACATGATTTGTTATGTGTGAGCAACTGGCGTAACCGATAAACACATGGTCCGAATCAATCTTGCGCGATTCGATCCAACCTCCACCGATAACGCAGGTGATACGTAAACATGTCCCAAGTTCGTTTTTGAACTCACAAGTGCACTGTATCGAGAAACGGCTGGTTTCTTCTTGAGTGTAAGGAAATGCGACAACAGCGCATAGAACTAACGTTGAAAGCCTGTTGTCACACCAATGTGGCGGAAACTTCAGCTCTAAAGTGGATCCAATTGTGCGATGGTTGAACCATGAAGGTACTTCGCTTCCTGGAAAGGAAGTGATGAGCAAAGCTTCTGAAACATTGCCCTGCAAAAGTAACATAGAAACCGAAAAAACTTACAATAATCTGTTTTGACAGAGATTTGATTAGATAGAGTGAGGAATGATACCTCTTTATAGCATCTAAGTGCATCTAGCTGGCTTTTTCTTTGAGCATATGACGTGATGCTATTCTTTGCAACTTCTTCCAGATTGTTGCAGTTGGTGAAAATGAATTTAGACTGAACCTGCTCCATAAGCTTAAGAAGGGCCATGGGAGACGCCACTGTTTTCAGCTTCTCACAGCCATGTGCATCTAAGATCTCTAAATTTGGTGGGAGCAATGGAATTGATGTGAGATTCTTGCAGTACTTTAAGTCAAGCCATTTCAGATGAGATAGTTGACTGATGTCGATTTGCAGGTTGCTGATCATCTCGTTCTTGCTTAAGCACAAACGTCGCAACGAGGATAAGCCGTTCATCCCATGTCTTAAGTTAGGTAAGTCTTCCACTTTTGATCTATTGAACTGCAATATCTTCGGCATGTCTGTAATTGTTGTGCCGTCGAGCAATAAAATCTGCAAGCATTTCATGTTTTCAATGGGAACTGGAAAAGTCTTGAGCTTTGAACAACCAGATAGCACCAGTTCTTGCAGAGCTTTCAGCTTCCCCAGGCATTCTGGAACCGACACCAACTTTTTGCAGTCTTTCAAGCTCAACACAATAAGTCTTTGGAGCTTCACCATGTTCGCAGGAAGTTGACTTATGGCAGTTCCATCTAAGTGTAGAGTTTCAAGATTATCCGAAATCACCCGAAATTCCTGAAGACTTGAGCAGTTGGTGAGGATGAGAGTTTTCAATGAGATCAGATTCATATGTGGAAGAAACAGGAGACTTGTGCATCCTCTCATGTTGAGGAAAATAAGACTTTTCATACGTTTCATCTCCTGGGGCAACTCCTGCAAGCTCGTGCAACCTTCAAGATTCAATCTTTGGAGACTTTCAGCATTTCGCAACCCTGACAACTTGCATAACTTACTTGAGTTACTAAGATCAACCCACTTTAATTTCGGTGTATCCTGCAATGAACAGTCAGAAAACTAAGAGACTCTAATCTAGTAACCGTAACGATGAAAACTAACTTAAATAGAGACACACCTTAACACCCTCCCAGACCTCTTCAATCTCGCTGTAAGGCAGGTTAAGGTCGGTAAGATTCTTAGGATTGAAGTCTTTTGGAAGCTTCTTCAAAGGGAATTTCAGCCAATAGAGATATCGGACTTCATCCAACGGAAACTCAAGGCCCTCAGGGAAGTTTAGTTTACAGTCTGCTTCGCATTCCCGATAGCAACTAGAATTATAGAATTTGAGGTACCTAAGATTACGCATCCCGCTGAAGGTACATTTTTCTAAAGGAAGTTTCTTCTTCAGTTCAGACATGTCGAGAAAAATACCTCTCACACTGTCTGCTCCCTGCTTAACCAGTTAAAGCCAACAAGTTAGCAAACATCAAAATTTGCTACACTCGATATCAAACAGTTTGAATATTTATCTTACCGCTCTTTTCTTCAATGCACCAACAACACCTTTATGGTTCCACAGCCTACGCGACCCTTGTGCACCAAGTTCCTTGCCAAATGTATACAGTAAATCATGCATCTCAACTCGTCCGCCAGAAATGTTTATCAAGAATTTACTGGCAAGATCTTTTATCTCACTCACAGTGTCACAAGACTCCACCAAACACCTCACGTAATACTCATCCCCTGATCTAAAGAAACAAGCGACATCGAGAAACACATCTTTTTGAAGCTGGCCAAGTCCATCATAGCTTATCTGCAAGACATCTTGTATAGTCTTATTAGGACTTTGTGCCAGCTCGCAAAGCTTTTTTTCCCAGTGAGTCTCGTCTTTTTCATTAAGCTCAACACCCAATATCTTGAGAGCTAATGGGTTGCCTTTGGCATAATCAGCAAACAATCTAGAAAGATTCATGAAATTTCCCTCCGGAGTGCAGAGCTTACCACTAAAGGCAAAATAGCTGAAGTACTGAAAGCTGTCTCTGCCACTCAATCTCAGGACTTCACATGTGTCATCAACCTTCCCTGCAATCACCGATCTGTCGCTAGTCGTGATAAAGATTCTGCTACCCTTCTTAATCCAGTCGCATTCGCCAAGAAGAATCTCAATCTGTTTCTTGTCACTCACATTATCAAGAACAACAAGAGATTTCTTACTGAGCAGGAGTGCCTTCAAGGATTCAGGTGACAGGTCAGTGACTTCTTCCTTCACGTCATCATCCTTCAACAACTCTCTCATGAGAATGTTCCTATCCATCACGCAGTCTTTCCACATTTTACGGACATCATGAAGAAATACACACCGCAGGAACTTGTGTTGCCACTTTTCATACAGAAGTTTCGTCAAGGTGGTCTTACCAATACCCGGCATACCAACCACACCAATCGTAAGAGTGCGCTCGGATTCAAAATCCAACATTTCTTCCAATTGTTTAAGACGTGTTTCGATGCCAAACAGAGGAGGAGGAGGCGAGTCAGGCGTTTCTTCATCATCTCCTGCACAAGGATTATCAATGGGGATTTCTTTGACTTCTCCTACAATAATTTGATCCGTCGAAACATCAGATAGCACTTTTACGACTTCCCTTACAATCTGATCAATGAATTCACCTTCATTGCTGCAAGAAAAGTACAAAGAACCCAATCAGAAAAACAAAAGTTATGCCGCATGACAAATTCAAGATTGGTTTTATTATGTACCTCATTTCGCCTAACGTAAAGCCTAGTTTTTTTGTAACAGTCTTTAAAGCTTCTCTCCACTTATCTAACTTTTCACCTTTACAAGTCTTAGCCAATTCCCAAAACTGTTCACCAAACACTCCCTTAAGATTCTTCACATCATCCGTCTCCACCTTGTAGAAGATGGGGATGACTTCAAGTTTACCTAAGTCAACGCATTCCTTGATCTTCTCCAGCTCGTTCAAGCACCATTTTGACTCCGTATACAAGCTTGAGAAGATCGCGAGCGCGATCCTCGACTCTTCGATTCTCGAGAAAAAGACGGTGAGATCTTTACCTTTAGTTTCGTTACTATCGATGAAGACGTTGATTCCATCTTTTCTCAAGGCTTTCGCTAGATGGCTGACGAAACCGTTCCGAAGCTGAATCCCTCGGAAATTGATGAAGACTTGGTGCTGCGGCGGTGATTGATCAGAGGAAGACGAAGAGGCCACCATGCTCGATGAGTCAAACAAAGGTAACAGTAGCTGCTTGCTTACCATTGTTATCCATTTTTTTTTAAGTTTCCGATTTAATTAAAAAATATTTTGGGAAGCTTTCCTTTCCTTTATAGTGAGTGCTAATGGAGTCAACGTTGTACCACCTGCACACTGATCTTGATCCTCCCTTTTTCCATTACTCTAATGGATTCTTCCTTTTCCTTGAGTATTTGTGCTTTTGCAATAGGAATCTCTACGATTTGGGGTCTGCTATTCTTTATGGTTTATAGAAAACTCAGATCCAATCCACAACTCGAAACGATGG